ATTGTTTTTAAGAATCAATTTTGTATTTTCGACACATACACCGGTCACTTTTGTTCTGTTAGGGGGCTTATTTGGCGGTATTGCAATAGTACAGATTGTATGGTACTATAGACCAATATAGTATTCGGTATGCTTTAGAATATTTTGTCTACTTATTATAGCGGGTAACTACGAGTATTTAAAAATTTGGTTAAAAGCAAGTCGCGCGAAGAGGGTTTCATACATATATTAAATAAATAAATAAATTTCTTTTGAAAATAAAGAAATTTATTTATTTATTTATTTATTATTATTTATATTAATTTAGAAAATTAAGTTATCCTTAAAACGTTTTGCTGTAGCTTTGATTAACAACGCCTATATATAGTAATAATATATAAGTATCATAATTACTTCCTGTTCATTGTTTTCATTTATGCCTAGTACTTAAGTTTCTGAGATCAATGGAGAAGGTCAATTTACTTTTATTTTATCAAAAATATATTTCATTTTATTTGAGACCCCCAAAATAAGCCCTTTGTTTGATATTCCATATCAAGTTTAATAACATTAATTTTTAAGATGGTTTTTTATTTCTAATCAACCTCCATATGGGCTGCCATTTTTCAAATTCATATATATATTTTATACGGCAGTTTTTAGTTCACCAACGGACATATGTACCAAATTTTAATTGAAATGGTCCAGTAGTTTTGCAGAAATGTCCGGCTGTGTATGACAGACAACAGAGAGTTGTTTGCACTTTTGATACGAAATTCTAAAAATAGTGAACGAGTAGTTGAGGTGAACTCTATACTATTAAAATTGAAATTTTTATGCCATGATTATGGAACAAAAACTAATAAAAGTCATATTAATAGTGATTAATTAGATTAGTTATTATTTAATTTACGAGTTTTTTTGTTTTGCTCACCGATATTTTTTTTCATAAGCACTGGGAACGAGAAAGCAGTTTGATTCCCTATATACGATGTTTCTTTTCTTGTTGCAAGGCCAGCAAATACTCCATGCTTTATTCTGAAAAAAAAAAGAATGCGTTATTCGTGAATAATTTAAAATATACAATCAAAAAAGTATATCATAACGGCATGGAACTAACTCTGGGCCAGCAATCAACTTGTCATATAAATTTTGATTATTAAACCGCATGTCATTATTACATTTCCTAACGTCAATAAAACTTGAAGTTGCTTTTTTCAAATGACTTCATTTTTATTGACGTTATGAAATATATTAAATGACATTCGATTTAATGCCATGCTGTGTAAGTGCTATGACATTTATAGTATAATCTTATTATTATAAAGGCGGTTTGTAATTTTGAGTGTTTGTTACTTCTCCACGCAAAAACTGCTGAACGGATTTTGATGAAATATGGTATACGGATAATGTTAATCCAAGATAAACATATAGGATACTTATTATACATATAGGATACATTCACAATGCAAAATTGATCAAATGTAATAATTAGAACAAATTTTCATCTTTATCGAAAGTCAATGTGTGATTTATCATCAATAATAATAATAATTATTATGTTATTATATTACATAGTTATCTGCGTCGTTTATTATAAATATATATATATATATATATATATATATATATATATATATTATTAATATTACATTACTCGCATCACAACATACAATATAAAAACTATACAAATGACTCAAACGGTAGATAATAAAACCTCTTTTAAAATTCCACCCGCTCAATATATAAAAAAAAAAGAAGAAGACCCTCTCTCTGTCATGGTGTCAACGCAAAAATACGTGAAAATACGCTCCTCTCGAAAAATAAACCGCTGTGTTAATATCTCACCAAAAATAAACTGTGCTCAAAATAGTGTTGAGTGTGTGAACTATTTTTTTTTATATAATAATAAGAATTCAAGAAAAAGGAGTATGACCGAAACCTATGGAAAATAACTATGTAAGTCCACTAATTTTCAAAATTTCAATCATTGGAAATCCTCCAATAGCTATTACATAGCTGACATAGCTTAGGTAAAACAACTTACCTACGCTATGTCTTTAGTATACTAAATAAATATTATTTGTTAAAAATATGTAAAAAAAGTCATTTATTTCCATATAACATGTAACATGTCGTTTCATTTGCGATAGAATTCTGTAAATTCTTACTACTAGAATATTATTTGTGGACCGTACAGGATTCGAATCGATTAGCCATTGCAATGGTCATCAAAAGTTATTTTTTTATATTCTAAACCTTTCTTAATCAGAATACAGGATCCAGGATAATTTAATATTATTATTTAAAGCCTTTCCATGAATATTCCGATTATAATTACATTATAAACATAACTCTCAGCGGTAGTAGCCGTAATTCTACCAATATTTAGGTAAGCTTAATAACAGAACGAAGCCGAATAATAATATTACACGAAGTATGTAAAATACTCTTCATAATAAATCTATTTGTCTCTGAACGTTAACTCTTGTTTACTCGACTGAACTTAAAACAACGATTGATGCTGTACACAAAATTAATAATTAATTACTTTCTTCCTTCGAGAGGAGAACGTCTTTGGTTGGGTGAATAGAGAAACGATTGTTTTTTGTTTTTAAAAATAGAGATGAAATCTTAATGATGTAGTAATTAATAACATACGAATTAAGATTACACCTAAAGGCCTATTCTATTAGTCGTGAACATTATCTGTGCATCTGAGGCTGTGTTAGGTCCTCTTTCGTTGCATCTTATGAAAAATGAGATTTTTTTGGAGTCGTATTAGCATTTTGAAATTAGACGAAATTTTGTTGAGAAACAGAATAGGATTTTAACCGCATTTAAACCCGTTGAGTATTTTACGAGATCTCAGCGTACATACAACGGAAAGTGACTTTATACTATGTATAGATAATAATGTGAAGAGATTGATAAAGTAGTAGTTAGAGTACGTGGTTATCGGATGGGTTACCAAAAATTTAGTATCTAGAATTCCTTCGAGCTGAGTCATTTGTACTAGATGCATCTAAGGTATCAGCACCCACCGATAAGATTAATCGGAATTTTTAAACCGTATAGGTATTGAAAACTATAGAAGATAGAAATCGTATTATATATTATTAGTTTAGAAATTAGAAATAGTTATATATTATTGTGATGTTGACTATTTCGCAAAAAAATTTTCTCCTTGTGTTTTACAAGGGTTAGGGAGGGGATACAATAGTTTATGTCACAGCAATAAAGACACTTGAAGCAATTTTCCATTTGTTTTTATATGTTCAGTATATTGTTTATAGTAGAAAAGGGTTAGAGTTGCGGCCTTATAATTTTGTGCTTTGTCTTTTTTTGTTATAAAAATATAACCAGCTTTTGTCCTTGTTAATTAGATATTGTTTTTCGACAGCCATTATTTTGACATTTTGACAAAAAAGTGCAAAATTTACCGTTTTAGCGCCTTTGTAACTTAAGTCACAGATTTGTTCCTCGGAGTGATGATGTACTTTTGATTCTTCTATGAAGTTATCCTGAATAATTGAAGAAAATGTTATAAAAGGATCCGCCAATAACTCTTAAATATATACTCCTTACATTTATCGGCTAGGTAATACTCTGTTACAAAAAAAACGTAAAATTTTTCTTTTGTAAATAATGTTGACAAATTCGCTGCAAAAAGACTTTCAGCCAGTTGCTTAAACGTTCATAAATTATTTAATTAGTTCAAAGCGACATTATCCATACAAATTTGACATTCATTAGAGCTTAAAGACGTCATTAAACCCTAATGGACGTTTGTACAACTGACCGTTCGCGTCATTAATCCACCGTTACTATTAATCGCCTGAACTAATTGGATAATGCTGTCTGTTCCTTAAAGTGAATATTGAAAACCGCTATGAACTATGTAAATAAACCGCTTCAATGCTTTTAAATGTATCTTTCAATTGGTTATCCACAGCGAAATCTAATATTAGAAAAAAATATTTTTCTAAAGTTGATTATTATGTGAGGCATTTGGCAGCTAAGGACGCTGAGCGGGGAATTCACTAGATAGACATGCCCGTCACACGTCTACCGTCTAGTGAATTCCCCGCTTTACGAAAGACGCTAACATTTAATGACACACAAAACAAATGAAATTGTTATGTGAAATATATTGTCAATGAGGCTTACTGCTCGTGCACAAACGTCCGTTAAAATTTTCATTACTTTAAAGCGACATTATCGATTCAAATTTTCAAATTTGGAACATTCATTAAAGTCATTATTAAACCAGAATGTTTGTGGATCCGGGCGATGTTTTAAATTGCAAACAGTTAACTTACAATTTCATCTTGATACACCGAATACATGGTTCCCTCCACGTCCGGTCTGAAATATTAATTAGGAAAAATACAAATTAGCAGCGCCGCGAGCTAAAACTAAAACGGGAATAAACAAAACTGACTCTGAAGTTTAAATTAGTTCTGTGAACTTTCTTGGTGCATGCATCACTCCGCTACTGTTTCAAACTTGTTTATTTGTTTCGTGTGAACACAAACTAGATTATGATAGAAAGTAGACTCAACTACTCTTGTTGTACGTGGTGTAATTGTTATGTTACGCTAGTTAACAGTCGCGACTTTGTTTGCGTGAATTTTTGAAATAAGTTGGCAGGCTAAAAGCTCATTGGCGATATGTCATTGGCCTGCCAATGACAATGACGATCGTTCCATTTTAAAGACCTGTCTTTAAAATGGAACGATCGAGATCTTGATCGTGACTCGTCGTTCAAAACTTGCCCGGCTCTACTTAGGCAAATCGATTAGGGTGGGTAACTATGAATAATGTACTTAGAATTTGATGTAAAGTCAATGAATTTAAAAAAAAAATACTCGTTTCCCTCAAGTACAATATGTGAATTCGGTTTTGGCACTCGATGGCAAAGATATTATGTAAGTATATATGTTTTTAAATAAATCAGAAGAGTAATGTTGACAAAATGAAAATTTCTACAAAACATTATGAACATTACAATCAAAAAATTAATTAGGGTTTAAAATAAATTCTAGCTCTTGCTAGTTTTTTGTTTCCCACACGAGTGCTTGAGCTTGTGCTTGTAATAGCCTAGACTGAATAAATTATGATATGATCTGATTGAATTATAAAGGCCGGCGTGTTATCGATTACACTTACGCATACAGTTCTAGTTTGAGTTCTATTCCGCAGTCTACTATGATGTCATGTGCCTCTCGTACTGTTAACATGTTGGTGTCTACACCGTTTATTGTTCGAAGCTTGTCACCTATCTTTATACCAGCTCGGTCAGCGCGACTGTCTGGCTTCACCTGAGAATTTTAATTTTGTTCTTTCTATTTATTTTTCTTTTAAGCTATTTTTTTTCTTTTTTCATTATTGCTTAAATGAGAGTTATAAGCATATAGTGAGCTGGTTGTGTGTATAGCTTGGGCTTTGATATTATAATAATATTATAGTAATTAGTTTGCTATGTAGAAGGAAACTCTCCCCTAAATGCGTTGAATTGTTACCCATTCAGGAAACGAGAAACTCCTGGAAGGAATATCATTAGAAAACGGTGAGTGCAAAGACTTAAAAGAAGAAGTTAAAGGTGAGAAAAAGTAACTAACATTCAGCCGTTGGTCCCGGCTGCATTTGCAGTCGTTAATATTCATGGCTCATCCTCCTTGATGCCTTTCTGGCATTAAGTCCGTCATTTGCTATGTTTGCCTATATTATTACCCATGGCAATAAATATTAAATAAATAAATAAATTATGTAGGTAACATGCTCGCTTACATTTTTTTGGCTCGCCTCGAATATATTCTCCGCTATGGCAAAATAAAATCATTCGCTTTATAAAAATACTTAAAGAATTACCTTTGTGACTCGTAGAGGTGTATCATAATATGATCCGCCAGCCAACTCAAAGCCCCATATGGTGTCATCAAAATTTACTTTTTCGTGTATACCCTCATTGCTCGATTGCCACGAAGGTTTTTCTGCAGTCTGTTGAAGCTCCTTTTCCAAAGCAGAGTTTACTTTTTTCTGAAAAAGAAATCTCTATTACTTTCAGAAGTAAAATATAAAGTACAATTACTAAAATATATTTTTCATCAAATTAAATACAAATATAACAAAAAATAAAATAATCTAAATAGATAAATAGTATCTAGGTCTTGCTCTCTCTTATTATTAGGAATTTCAGTAAGTCAATTAAAGTAATTCTAAATGTTTTTTGGTTATACATATATCAACATGGGCTTGCTCATTTGTAGACAAGAGCCAACTTTTGGTAGCAACCGGAACATTTTGTGGCCTGTGAAGATACGGATGCAAATTGATTCAAACTAATGTGAACCCAAAACTTGTTTCCCCCACCTTACTAATGAAATGGCCCTACATGTAATAAAGCTGCGCTATTATCACAGTCGTGGATTTATTGTTTGAATTAACTCAAATTAAACTCGAAGTATAAAAACTATTTTGCAATCAGATAATCGCTCTAGAAATCAGTATTTTTGCAGACGACGTTGTCTTAAGACTGTGAATAAAAATAAATGAAAACAAACTATAAAATTGTTAGATAAATAGTCAACGATACAGTGGCATATTGCACAAAATATAGTATTGTTTTCTCTCGATTTCGCATATTATAAAGCGTGTATGAAACTTCCCCTAGAAAAAATTATTTTAAAATCGTTTCTGTTTTTTTGAGGCCTATTCGATGCAAAGGAACAATCAAATCATTTATCTTTATATTATTAGTATACAAACTTTAAATGCCTATGTGAATTCACTCAATATTGAACATATTTTAAATAATATACCTATTTCGCAATTTTAAAGTGACATTCAAATAACACTTACATTTTTAATTTTTTCATCCATATTACTTAGTTGGATTGGGACTCAGTTGGTGTGTGTTTATTGTAAAAGCACTTTTGCGAGCTACTCCAATAATGAATTAGGACTGGACCTCGTTCGTTACTTTAATCACTTATGCGTATCATTTGTGAATTGGTTGTTATTAATAAAGACAAGAGAAGGGCACAATTATGCTTTTTATTGGCATTAATATAAATCAGATTAGCCAATCAGAATGAGTGACGCCCTCCGATAAAATATTTTTCTACATACATACAATGTTCTGTTTCCATATATGCATAGACAATATTATTAATATTCTATTTAAATAATTTAGTTAACATTAAATAAAAATTTATAGTAGCTATCTTCTTGATGTTATCTTTTGTATTATGAGAACCCACACTTAAATGCCTACAAAGGAGTCGAAGAAAATTAGAAATAGGACATAAGAGGACGAATACAGAAGTATGTACCTTAATCGATATAGCATTGACAATTCTAGGAATCGATATCAATATTATCATCAGATAAAGTGGTGTAGTGAGCCCTGATTGCACTAAGATAAAAGTGGGAGTAAGCTAGGAAAAAAATTGCAAATAAAATACACAGACATTATTGATCAATTTATTTTAAAATTAGATTTTAATCATCACTATCACTCCACTATAAAAATACTTAAAATAATATATAGTACCGACTTCAAACTTAAAAAGTGAAAAATAATACTTATCTCAAAAGCTACTTAGTCTAGAAAATTCTATAAAAGTCGGGCGAGGGTTTTCTGTCGATTATTAATTAAATAATAGGCTCACGACTTCAGTAGCGATAAATTGAATAAATCGCTTTTGAGATAAGTATTTTTTTTTCACTTTTTAATATTTTAAAACCAGTTCTATTTTTTTTAAGATTTCGTTTTATACTTTTTATTGATATTATTTTTTTTTATATAAAAGGCAAAACTAAAAATACTTTTCTGCAACCGCGATAAAACCATGTTAAATGTGAACCTCCATTTCGTTAATATCCCTTAACTTTCCTCCTAAGCCTGACAAATATTATGTTGAAAACCGCATCAAAATCGGTTCAGCCAAACGTGAGATAATCGCATACATACATACATGTATACAGGCCAATCTGGGAATTCTCCTTTTTTGAAGTCGTTTAGACATGTAATACAAAGTTATATACTTAGACAGAAATCACAGAAGACAGAAGATTTACAATTAGACAGAAGATTTGTTATCAGAAGATTTATCGTTTAAGTAAAATATTAATTAACTTTTATATCAATTGCGTCATTAAGTGTTTTGTATATAATAAAAAAACTATAGCGAAAACTTATCTATTTTCGGGGAAACAGAAAACTCAGATTCGGTAAAAGAAAAGTTGAACAGTAGACATTAGGACCAGATTGAGCAATTAGTGTGACCGTCCTCAAACAAAAAAGACGTCAAGAGTTCTAGTATAATTTGTTATCTTGTCAATCAGTAATACTATGGTTGGAAACATCTAGGGTAAACCTTCCCAAAATTGTTCGGAAAACAATATATTATATTCTGTGTATTATATTAGCTGTTTTCGCGCGACTTTGCGTATATTAGCATAAATATGATGCAGATGCAGGTATGAAGTTTCGCAGCCTATTTATTCCATGTGAATAAACAATTAAATCATTCTTGAAATACAATTTAATATTAAATATTATATACCTAAATGTAGTGTGTTCACTGTATATTTTCCAACAACTTTACCAACATTTTTCTACCTAATGTATAAATAAATAAAATTTGTGAAATATAATTTCTAGTAAATCAATTTTTTCTCCTAAAGATTTTTAATTCGTATTGAGAATTTCCTTTGCCCATTTTGTTCAAAGTGATATAGCATTACTTTGTCTCTGTCAAATGTAATTAAAAGATGTCTTGACCATAATTTTGTATTAATATGTCTAACATGGGACGTAAATGTAATAAGGTAAATGTAGAGGTACTTTAAAAATAGTAAAAATTAATATATCAAATATAGATTTGAGGATGACGTCTGAACATACAAATAAATGACTCAAAAATTGTCCTTTACTTTCCTGTCCACTTTTTAAAAGCAGACATTTTTGTATTTAAATGTGAAGAATATTTTTAATTTATTTGTTAGCTTAACAATAAGCATAAACATTATATTTCCCGACCATAAATATTGATCGTCAACTGAACGTTTGACAGCTAAGAACAGTTTGTATGGGAAAATCCCATTGTCGTTTTAAGTATTATACTCGCAATTTTGTCATATTTTCTCATCGTTTAAACCTTCCCAGGACTTCCACGAATATCTCAAGACTAAAATTTGTCAAATCGGTTCAGCCGTTCTCGAGTTTTAGCGAGACTAACGAACAGAAATTGATTTTTATTTATATAATATAAATAATATAGATTATAAACATCAGTACAAGTGATAATTTCAAAACGACAATCAGCTATCTATTCGTAGAGTAAAATTAGTATTGTTCAATATCGAATGTGTAAAAAAAGAAAAATAAACTTACCAATCTAAGACCAAAGCGTTTGGGATTCCTATCGTATCTGCCCGCCCATAAATTTCGACACGTCGATCGCACATTTAGTTGTCGTCGAATAATATATTTGTCAGTACACTGCGAGATGTTTATTTTTAATGAAAGGTATGTTGAGGTTGCATACTGAGTGGGTGTCAGCCAAAGACTACCTATATAACAATAGTGAAATATGAAACAAACTGATAGTTGCACAAACGTTGATCAAGGTTTAAAGACGACCGTTAGCTCTAATGAATGTTCTAAATTTGAAATTTTGTTTAAGTAATGTCTTGGTGTTAGAGTATTACTGATCTTGCACTCTGAACTAGTAACAACAAATTTTTATATCGACTGGCATCTAGGAAAAGGAGGTGGAGCTCGATAATACAGTGGTTAGCGCGTTCGGAATGTGATGTGGAAGTCAAGCAAGGTTCGCAAAGGCCAATTATAGGATAGGTAATCAAAAATTTACCATCTTGAACTCCTCTATGCTTCGGGAGGTACGTTATTCCGTTGTTTAGGCTGCATGTGCAGTCATTATCACTCATAAATCTGCACGGGGTCTCTGTGACGGATAATGAGTCATTCTCCTTATTTGGATCGGTTTGGTTCTATCCATGCAGAAGGCTTGTGCCCTGGCAGTGAAATTAATAGGTAATACGTAACGAAAAAAGTTATCCATACGAGTATTTCCTTTCATTATCATTACCAGCCTATCAACGACCCCATTACTAGTGCTCAGACCACCCATATGGACAGAATCGAATAGGAAAAATGAGCTATAACCTACAACGCGGACCCAGTACATATTGGCGGCTATTGACGATTGTCAATGCAACCGGGACTCGAGATAATAAATTTCTAGTCACCCATAGAGCGCGCTAACCGCTCCGCCAACGAGCTTCTCTGAATTTCCTTTATGAATGTTTGAATTTAGCATCCGTCCTATAGTGAATTAGGGCCCCACGGAGATCCACATCTGCTCGTCATAGCGTAAAAACAGGTCCCGCCCTCGTCGGATTACGCTGTCAATGTAAACAGGATCGGTGGAAATATTTTTCATGCGAACGGGCGACGCAAATGGTACTCATTCCATCATTTCTCTCCATCTTCGTTTCTCATGCTAACATTTATTTCATTTCATTGTTTTGTTGTTATTTTACGGGCCAAGATATTCTGCTGTTCCATTTTGTTTTTGATGCTCGAGCAGGATGTTTTTGCTTCACTCTTTAAACGTTAAAGCTTAGAAAAGTTCATAGAAAATTTTCGCCCAGTTATATCTTTTTTGCGGTATGTAAACAACAAGGTTTATTGCTTGTGAAGCAGCACCTGTGAAAATAATTCTCTTGATATTTGAATAGAAATAATAAGAGGTAATTTCTATTTAGTAAATTTGATAATTTTCAAGATTCATGGTAATAATGGGCGTAATTTTCAATATAATAAAATATATTGTAGAATTATTACCATGTTAGGAGTTGTTGCTTAAATACTCGTATATATGTTACGCTCAAAGATTGAAATCACTAATTGAGCGAAAAATTGGTTACAACGCTTTGTGGTTCCAGTAAAATTCGTGTTGTCTCTTATGGCTCATGACGCGTTGTGGCATTTACAGAATAACCACATAGTGAAATCCGTGTCGTGACTTTCATGCTATTCGATCACAACGCGTTGTGGCAATGAAGAAAAACCATAAAGTGTATTGAGCCATATTTGATTAGGTTATAGTTTGACAAACAACGCCAAAAACGAATCGCTATTTTAAAATTAAACAGTTATTTAAGCCAATTAATGCTCATAACACGTCGTGAGCAAACGCAATGGAAACCCATTGCAGTCATAACACGCATTTTGCAATATGGTTTTTCTGCAATTGCTACAACGCGTTGTGAACAATTTTTTCGCTCAGAGCGATTTCGATCCTTGAGCGTAACTTATTTACATATATATGTAAAAGACTTGAATTGCGTTACTGGTAAAAAATATATTAATGTTTAGTAAAAAAACGTTATAGAGCTGAAATATCTTCATAAAGGGGTCCAGTACAAGTCAGACTCACCTGCAAAGAGTTTTGTAGCAAACATAGTGTTATGACGACTATTTTATTAATGCTTGTGAATGTATCTATGGCAATCAATAGTCATTTGATATTTACTGTACTCTATGATTACACTTTCTATGTAGAAAAAGGGCTACCTTTATTGTAATTCTTGGTACTGATGTCTTGTGAATATTATTGTGATTACAGTATAATAAAACTACATACCACAATAAAAATGAGTTTATTTGTGTTACATATAAGTGGAAAAAAATTGCTTTGTTTTTTTTTTGTTTGCATTAACATAAAAAGAATAGTTTTTAAAAATGTACTGTATCTCATAATCTGTTGACTATCACCCAGAATTATTGAACCCAGTACTTGAACCAGCTTAAACGTCTCTTAAACGAGTTATTATGGCTGATAATTATT